AAAATCAGTAGATCGCATTTATTTACTTTAAATTAGTGACTCTGTGTCCATAATCCAGAGAATACTGACATGTAAAGCTTAAAGCATATTCGATACTTTGAGATTCAGCCATATAATGCAGTGTAATACAACAATGATTGTATACAGGCAGGTACATTGATTAGGCTACGAATCAAACCTGTATACTGAAATAATGCTACTTGCCTAATACATGCTTCAGTATATTAACTGACCTTTGAACTTACAATCGACTAGTTGGAAATATACTGCATAAGTCAGGAAACAGAACTCCCAAATAATCTTATTTCACTGCCTCTGGGAAAAATTTTATCGACCCTCAACTATATTTTTAGCATAAAATTGAAGCACATGAATAAAAATGATCACAACATTATATGGGGAGATTGATTACTTTCAAAGTATTCATCGTAGATTGATATAATTCGTAGAATCACTTTGTGCAGGACTTTCCATCGACTATGATCGCATACTCGATCACACAAGTCAATATATGATAAAAATGTCATCCTACTTTTCCAACTTAGTGATGTTTTATAAAGAAAAGAAGAGATAATTCAGTGGAGGAAAATATCTTTTTCGACGATATCGTTTATTAAGCTGTACAATCGTATTTGTGTATACGACAGCATATGACAGCATATTCGACCGCGGTCCAGATTTTCATCTCACCTTCAATCATCACCCAGTACAAATATCACAGTCTGTCTTTGAACAATACAATATAGTTAAATCATCAGGCTAGTGTTAAAACTGAAATAAAGACTCATAAAAAGTTGCGTGATAACGTTTTAGACAAAGGAAATAATAAGAAAGGGTGTTTGACAAGGTGAAAATTGTTAGTAGGTATGATATGCGAACACTGAGTGTTCATTTGATTGATATAAGAAACGTCAATAAAAGAAAAAGGTCATAGTGAAGGTGATAATAGTAAACCGACTAATTGTAATTAAATCGAAAAAAACGTTTTTAAGAGCAAAGGAAAATAAGAGATTGAACATACTTCTTCTGCACGCATATATCAGGCTTAGATGCATGAATTGCCAGTGCTTCTGCTACGAACAGCTATTTCCTTTGACTTTGTAAATGACACTGAAGGAGGATTATGGTACAGCAATATATCCAGAGTTGACCAAATGTTCAAGAATTGGACTGTTAATTGATTTACATTCTCCCCTCGACAACCATGTAAGATAGGGCTTAGAAATATGTTTGGAAAGTCCTCGCTTTGTGTGGCCTATATAACTAGCTCCACAAGAGCAAGTAAATTTGTTGACATGCATGGAAGCTACCCAAAGTAGCAACTTGTTCTTAACACACCCCGGAACTATCTGCTGACTAGGGAAGCCGATCTGTAACTTGGCAGAGAAGAACGTCTTCTTCAGTAAATTGGAGATCCGAAACCAGCGTTTATAATCTTATTTGGGGCGTTGAGTATTTGCTCCATATTCCGTTTTAATTTCAAGTTTTTCTCAATAAATCTGAATTAGTATCTATTTTGCGTGAGAATTTTCCATAGTTTGTCCAACTCATTGTCGATAGTATCACTCTTTCAGATTCTTCTGATCCTTGATAAAAAATAACTAATCAGATTTCTCTTTTGCTGAGCAATGTTCAACTATAGAAATTCATGTAGTGTCTGTTTCATGCTGACTTGCTGTAAATCAATCTCTGGAGTGAGCTGTCTGGTCTCTGTTTGGATAAGATATTGACAAAATGAAATTCTGAGCTCTCTTCAGAATCTGTTATGTAGTTGACCGATGAGTGACAGTCATTAAAGTTTTTGACTGCAGTCCCAATATCTGTATTCGGTTCACATCCTTATATCTTTCATATAGGTAAAAACTACCAATTTTTGAGTGGAAGACACTATTCTCTAAGTTTGGCATTAAGCAGTCAATCAGCAGCGATCGAAGTAGTGACCCTTTAGCGACGTTTAAAATAAGCCTAACCATTAAGTCAAATTAAAGACACATCACAAAGTTATGTGGCCTATTCGTGAATGTTTCGCGTTAAAACTTCAGGGATTTAAGGATAGTGAATATTTCGGTTCATCTGCATCCAGTTTTTTCGATCCCTGTTTTTAGGTCTCCTGTATATCCTCATTTCTAAATGTCTCTGTCGAGTATAGGATTTAAGATATCCAGATCAATATGACTAGTAGGTATCATGGTTTATGTATTAATATTGAAAACTTGAGTGAATCAATGGACTTACTTGTTTCACGAGGATTAAGGATTCATCAAAGCAAGATGTTTTTTATGTGTTTCTTTTTTTTTTTATTTTTTTTACTACACTCGTACGTGTTTGCTTGTTATGTAAATTACAGTAATTGATAGCACCAGTATATTTTATGTAGTCTCAGTTGTATAATTTCTCAAAGTGAAGATAGTTATCTTTTCGACGACTCATTCTCACAGTTGTACGTTCGTAAATGTATAATTCAAAGCATGGAAGGTTTCAGAGGAATTTACGGTTGAAGTTAGTAGAACAGTGAATATACGTCTAGTAAGGGAGTTTGAGAATATGCTAATGGAAAACGGCGAAAAAAAATGTAATACAGTGTCAAATGAAAGTTTGTCTTTCTTTTCCTGGAGAATTTTACGGCAAGTAAAAACAAAGATAACAATGCGACAGTTTTAGTACCGTAATAAAGAAGGTGGATGTTCAGATTTCTTTTGAACGCATTATTGAGACTTGAACATATAGATTGATAACACTTTGGATGCAGAGAAATCTCTTACCGTCACACATTTTCAACGATTTGGTTGGAAATTTTAGTGGATCGTAAACGACGTGTTGAGAGGATCTAAGTGTCTTGAACTCAATAAGTGCTGGACACCAAAGGTGGAGGTAGTCGTTTTCCACCTTTCAACAATCAACGTAGATATCGCTTGCCACCGTGTTATGGCCAATATACTTGGCTTCACAGGAGAAATTAAACACACTGGTGATGCCTAATGTGTCAGTTTATCCTCCATATGCTGACAGATCAGCTCTTGGCATGATCTGAAGACTTGCAATCAAGAATTTTCGCCCACTAACTTTGAAAAACATTTATCCAGAATATAAATGGTGATCTCACCTTTAAAATTGAGGTTTGGTAAAAAGATTTTCTCTGTAACAAGACAGAATTTTTCTATAGTTTTTTTCATATTTTGATTGGTAAATCTGGATGGGTAACCATTTTGTAATAGAGTTTCATGAAGAGTTTCTAATTTTATGCTTCATGGTGTCATTAGTACACTGCTTTTTGATCCTTAGGAAGAAGGAACTTATAGGGCTCTTCTTCGCACTTAAGGGTACCAACCTCTGAGATTTAGTCAGTTGTGCGTTCCATGTAGGCTTCCTGTAGACGGATCTCCGAATGGAATTACCAGATCTCTCATGTTGGATGCTAAAGAATTGAAAACTTGAGTTCAGTTTAGCTTTCAGAGTAAAACTGATCGAAGGATGGCTGTCGTTGAAATTCTGAAGGGAGCTTTTCACATCTAGGTTTTCATCACAAATTATGTGTCGTTTGTATACTAAGTTACTTGGTTGTTAGAAATAGAGTGTTGTTTTTAAAACTAACCATAGTCCAGTTGGTCAAGAGCGGTTCAAAAAGCGATCCTACCTCTATGTCATTCATTTGTCTACAGATTTCTTTATTAAATCTCAGTGGAACGTTAATCAGATAAGACTACTTTCTTCAAGCAATAAAAATCATGTTAATGAGTTCAGTCGTAGTAATTTTGTTTGCTGCTGATTTGTATTCAAACACTTTACTTTTCATTAATTGTTAATAATCTCCAACCGTTATGGAAGGCAGTTAAGACCATAAATTATCTCAAATTAAAGAATCATTATACAGTAGGAAGGGCTGTATTTCTATTTCGTCATAATTTGAGATGCTTCAAGACCAACATGGTGTCGAATCAACCTCAGAACTCCTAGATCTTGACGCAAAACAGACATGCAGACCAATATATAAACTCGCGCTGAAGTACATTGGTTCATGTTAACGCATTTCATAGCAGCATGCAAAGAACAAGTGCATAGAAAGAGTGATATTAAGGTGGACAAAAGCGTATGGAAGGAGAGAGTGCGTGTGGACGTCAGTAAAAATATTTAAACTTTTGAAGGTGTGAAAGAATAAATACGTCTGCGATGTCATAGCCGATCTGCAGCCGTGTCACCAAGAGTTTCTAATCGTCGATCCCACTATTTGGAGGTCTCCAACCAGGTAGTCTAGACCTTCATAAGCTGCTGAGACTAAAAGTCAGAGACCTCATAGATTGATGACACATCTTTGTCTGGTCATCCCTTGGCTTCGTCCCAATACAATCCTACTTTAGCATGTCAAGGAAGCTTCATTGGGTGACTTATGTTCCTTATCTAGTACTCTGCGTCTAAACTCGACATTGCTCACACTGTGGTTCCAACACACGCAAGCAATACTGCAAAGACACATACTCATATTCTCTAATTCCAGTAGTTATGTCTCTAAAACATACAACTGCATTGAAAGAACTGCTACTCACTTTAATTGTCTTTTGATAGGCTGTTTCATATTTCCTCGGTAGCAGAGATGATATAATTCGGTAAATGTCAAACAGGTATTTATATTTGAGCTGAGATATGGTTAGTGATCAAACCTTATGGGTTGACACAAGTATCTAACTAATTGAAGCTGTAAATAAGTTCCACCACTTCACTTCTTATCGTCAAAGCATCATCTTACATTTGACAAATATGAAACGCATGCAAAATGTATTCAGATTTTTGATGATAGCGTCAAGAAGATTCTATGCTTTTTCATCGATTTCGTCTAACTAGACCATGCTTTCTGCATACTCTTAGTCAGCCAGGTGCCTTTAAGGTAGTGAGTTGATTCTTGACTAACTGTTTGATTACAAGCAAAGCAAAAAATAATCTCCAATTATTTCTTGAATCCCTTTGTGTCACTGAATTTCCTGACTTTATTTTTTTCCATGACTCAGCAATACAACTGGATCACGGATCCCATGTGATGTCTATGAGATGGATTATATCAATATGAATCGTGAGAAAACTTGTGAAAAATTTGTCCATTTTGTTGAATCAATTAATCGTATTCGACGTACCGTTCTGCCGAGCCGAAAACTTAATCGTCAGGTTAGCATTTATTTAACTTTCTTCATTCGATAGTAAAATTTAATAAATAAATATTGTTTAAGGTTTATGGGGATTTCGTTTTGAAGGGAGTGTTCAATTGGAGAATAAAAACTAGGAAACTGTGGATCGTTGAACTCCGACCCGGTGGCTTAGTGGTTAACGCATTCTCTGTGGAACCCGAACACCGTGAGTTCGGTCTCTGAGGAATGCCATACTAAGACGAAATAGCCATCCAGTGCTTTCAGGACTTCACTGGTTCTCCAGCTGGTGTCAGTCGCTGACGAATACTGCCTTAAAAATAGATAAAAATTGTGCTAATAGCTTTTCGTAAAAAATGCTGTCATGGAAATTTCTGATTCATATATATCAGTGTCTTGAGTTTCCTCAAGTTTTTAGATTCATCTCGCTGATCGGATTTGTGGAGTATGAAACTTAGGCTTAGGACCTCTTTGCACCAACTCATCTTCTGAAGCAAGATAATCAATATATTCAGACCGTTGGTAGTCACTGATACTTTTACGAATGTACTTTATGCATGTAATCGACAACGATATCTACGTATATAAACATATTCCCCTTAAGCCTATATTATATGAATCACACTCATTGTTGTTTATTACGTATTCTAAAGATGTGAATGTGTAGTTTGCTCTGAGTTAGGCGTCTTTTATCCCGAGTTCTTATGTATAGAGTGATTTTTCAGTATGTAATCAGTCTTTGAATTCAAATATACTTTGAACTGAATAAATTGCTTTGAATTCATAATCGGTGTAGCATTAAAATTTCTGTTACTGATGCTTTCATTCCAAACACATTTCCATCTTAGGTGGGTCGCAAATATTCACCACCGGAGTACTGTCTTCATCTGTCTCTCTGTTACTAGATCTCGATGTGGGATGCAACACTGTATATTTGTCACTAGAGTTTTAGTGATGAGTTAAATTATATTAGTCAGTCAAAATATAATCTCAAGGTAGTATTCGCCTGCGATCTCATCAGGGATCGAACGCAGGTCTCTTTTCGAGCACGTTAACCATCCAATCTCTGGGTCGGAATCTAATGGTCTATATTTATCTACTTCTATCAACTTGCAATATACCGCAACCTTCACCCAATATCACCGTTGAGTATTTTTCCTCATACCTGACTTGTTTCGCTTCACCGTTCATGACTTCTTATTGGAACTTCGAGACATCTCATCTCGAAGCATTTTACTAATGCGCACTGGACAGTATTTCAGCTTGGTTCTACAACTGATGTCAGTTCGTGATGAATGCTAACTTGGAGTCAATTAATCAATCAATCCCTACAAATCTCCGAATTAAAGTATCATTTATCTTGTTAGATGGATTAAATTAGCGTTTAGGAAAAGCTAACTATCTGTTGACAGAATATATCTAATTTAAATAGAAGAGAAGTAATTGTAGAGTAAAAATTCAGTTGTTTGTAAGTGAAATTGCTGATAGGTAATGGGTAGCAGTGGTATCCAGGACGTGCCTTTCGTCCTATTTAGGACTCGTCAGCTGTATGTATCTGTACCTCAGTGAGTGGTATTGTTTCCATTGCGTCTCGAACCCAGGACTGATCTCTTCAAACGCTATAGCGTTTTCTATTAGGCCGCGGAAGCCTGATAGCTACTTTTTGTACGACGGGTATAGTATGGTCTTCGATATTATACTTTATGTATTTCCGTCGTTGACTGAGCCGAATTGATCGATCTTTGTTAGTATATGGGCTCTTGTGCGGATGCCTTGATATTAAAGATGGTGAAAAAATATACCTGATTTTTCGTTGATTTGTTTTTCCCTGTGATATTGTCTACTCTTTTCTTCACCTCTTCATCCTGCTTTTCCTTTGGTTTTTTTTATATTCGCTATTTCCATAATTAAAGACAAATCATTGAATGAATAAAATGAAAGTAATTGACAGATTGACATCATAGGAATGAGGTAATGTGGAAGGTGTGTGTGTATGTGTGTGCATGTTTGAAAGAGGGAGGTGAAGAATACATGCGAAACGAGTTGGCAATGTCACTCAGGTCAATCAAGTTCTTTTTTTGGTATTTCACTGTTCCCTTCTCTTGTTTTCCTATGATAAGGTTCTTTCTGTTCATATTATTATGTCATTAATAATCTTAAACTGTATGATTCAAAGTTTTTACAGAAGAGAACTTTATGTTGCTAGATTTGGGTTATATCAGGAACATGGGATAGGAGAAGATATCCAGTGTATTGAATATATTTTATAGGTTTATGAACACACGCTCATGATGCAACCTAGTCCCCCGGTAAAGGTTTTGCTTACTGAGCTGTGAGCCAAACGTAGTGTTTCAGGACACATGAGACTACCCAGTTCGAAATAGATGAGGCGAGATTTGAACCTAGGACTGATTGTTTAGATATCATACATGTCAATCAGCCTGCCATGCGCGTATGTATATAACTCTCTGTAGCACAATCCTATCCTTTGTATGAATCCTTGATTGGTACTTCTCATTGTTAAATTCATTTGTATTATATAATGATGAAAGTTTTTTAAAAGATGAAATAATACTGCAATTCGTGTTGACTGTGGCTTAAATCCATAGAACATAGTCAATCATTAGGAGCATAAAGTTATGTAATTCAGACAGGGTCATAAATACTGTGAATTTTATTTTAGTCTGTTTATTAGGATTGTCACACAGTGAAACAGTATTATTTACTGGATAACGTTTCGGATATAACTTATTGTCCGTATTCATATCACCTTTAGACAGAATTTATTTAGTTCTAATCTCTCCTTCTTTGTGATGTAAACGGTAGTAGAATTTTCCATATATCTGTGATAGGTTCAAAATTATTTCTATTGGATGTATTTGGTGATGATTCGATAAGTGAAGATTCCTTTATCAATGTCCCTCCACTCAACTAAGTTTTTAATACCGTCGCTCTATTCCATACTATTGTACTAGTGTGTGCAGTTGTGAGCATGGCTATTGCCAAGCTTTTCTCTAAGTTTCTCAATCTTAATAGGATCTACTAATCTTGATTTAGCTAAGTTTTTGTGCTCTGTTATTCTAATTGACCCTGGACGACTAATTTGACCTATGTGTTTGACCTCACAGTCATTGCAAGGGATTTGGCAAATTGAAGTATTTTACCTAATTGGACCAATGCTGTCTTTTAACGTATAACGTTAGTTACTGAGAGTTCTTCGTAACAGTAAAGGCCTTGAATTCTTTCAACCCTGTCGCCATTGTTACTCCTATGTTTGGTCATTTTAGAAGATAGAATGAAGTTATGGAAAAATACGGTAGCGAATGTGAGGAATTTTGCTTCAAGATAAAAATCACTGTTGATACGTTCAAATGATAATAATCATAAAAGTACTGACACAATGTAGAAGTCTAAAATGAGAGCATTTATTGCTAACTGAGATCACCTCATCATTCTAGTTGGCGACTGTTCAACTCTGGGTATCTACTAGGTAACGATGTTTTCACAGTAAAAGCAAAATACCCCTACTTAAGCCCAATATGGCGTTGTAAGTATGCTTTGCTGAAAAGTTCCAAGTCAGAATGAAACGGGTACCTTGTGCTATTTGGTTTCCAATAGTCATTGTCAGCTCACTTAATGAGCCATATCTTAAAACTAATCAAATCGTTAAATTTACTCATCTAGGCAATGAACTGCAGTAAAATGAGGATTTCATAATTCAAGAGATGAGAAAAAAGAAAACTCACTTTTTCCAGAAGAGTATAATTTTTGTGGACATGTTAGTTGAGAGATTTAGAAAACGTTTCACGACTATTAAATAATATTAGGCGAAGCTACTAGTTTTCTAGTTGTCAGTCACGTTTAATGTCTGTTTAACTATAACGACTAGTTAGTAACCAGGTATTAAGTTTGCTTCCCTTCATAGCGATTTTCTTCATTGGTAATCAATATATGGTGATATATGGGTTGCTTGTTCGATTCCATCCTTGGCATTGGTTCTCTTTTAAAACTAATGATAATTGTTATATCATCAGTACAACTTTTCAAGACACTCTTTTTCTGTTATTCTAATTATTTATATATTGTATTTCTCTTCGTTTTACTGAATAAACGTGAAAAATGGTTGATTCACAGTCTGCTACTGATAAACCTGATATCCATCGTGTAAATACTTGCATTATTTCTTGTGGAAATACTCTGAGTGACTCATCTATGCCCACTACTCCTATGTACTCTGTGAGTGGCAGTCACAAACCTAAAATTGGTTCTATTACTAATACATCAACGCATGCACGGGCTTCAGCTGTATCACCTAGCACAATTGGATCTTGGAATGAACCCAGTGACAGTAGTAATAGTAATCATACTAGTGTTCAAAATATTAGTGGAAGTAGTAGTCAGGTGAATATTACTCCAACAGATGATTATCATTCTACTACATCTTTGCCTAGTTTACTTGGAATGTTTTATCAAACATGTGAAGATCAATCAACTCCTAGTCAAACACCACAACATTTATCTACTGGTAGTGCATCAGCTGTGAACCTACGCTTTCTTAATTCAACAGTTATACCTTATTACATGGTAGCACTTATGATGGCTGACAATGAGTAAGTTCACTATTTTCTCATTGTAACAAGTATTATTGATGTAAATCACTGTTTTTTAATCAGTCCCCTTGGTCCCATATTTGAAGACATACTCCTAGACCATTAAGAGAATACCAAACCAAGTGATGCCATCAAACAGAATAAATTGCATTTGAGATATGTGGATGATCCTTCCATTATAAGTGTTTGTGAAATCCGCGCAGGCAAACTACTCAGATCTTTCAATTCAGTCGATTTAGATGTGAAATTCACATGCGAAAATTCAACTTTATTTGGATTAAATTCCGTACATTTGAGTATTGAAGGAAATGAAGATTGTTTGATATTACACAACTTATCATAAACCTACTTGAACCGGTCAATATTTGTCATTTAATAGTTCCTGTCCAGTCGGTTATAAAACAAGTCTAGTCAAAGCTTTACTTTTAAGGGTGACCAGACTATGTTCTAAGGAATTCACCGAAAATGAATTAAATGATATACGAAAAACTTTGTTAGATAATGGACCAATACATGCTTTGAACCTAAAAACGAGAAATTGAATGATACAACCATGCCGAAAAAGAACGTGTTCATCAGACTACCATTCTAAGGTAATGAATTGAGTTCACAAAATAATCGCCAACTGAATGCATGCATCGTACTAACTTATCCAGCTGCGAAACTAACAGTTGTCTATGACACGGAGAACGTGTTCATGGAAACTGATTGAGATGTGAGACCTCCTCGTGTTACCACCAGTTATATTTATTTATTCACCTGTACTTGTAGTACCATGCATGTCAGAAGAATGGAGAGGGCTCTTACTAAAAGAATGTCTGAACGTGTACCGAAAAGCCTGTCATTGAGAGATGGCAGGCTACCATGCAGCGCCATTGCTAAAAGCATCCACGATAGAGGTCATGTCATCGATTCAAGCTTAGCCTTTAAGGTAATCAGTAGACAAAGAAATAGTAGATTAAAAAATAGTTTTTTAAATATCACAATGGGAATATGTAAATAGTATGTTGCTATGTTATGCAAAAGCAGCAGCAATCTGTCGACTGAAACCAAATATACGCTTATAAAACTAGTTTGTGGCTTTCTTTGGAATACCTACAGCTTTATTTACAATTTTTTCCTTTCATCTTATTGTCTTATGCAATATTATTTTTAAGTATTATTCATATTATCATTTGACTATCAGAGATAGGCGTCGTTTGGCAGATGAGTACTTATACTGGGTAATGATTGAAGGTGAAATGAAGGTCAATATGGTGCTTCCCCTCTCTGATTCAGTTAGATTTGTATTGGGATGAAAAGTCCTGGCTAGTCAGGCAGTGTGAATACAATGAAGCAGTAGTAACACATGACGAATTCACATGGTAGTCAGGCAAAACCCTTGGTGATTGAAGGGAAATCAAAAACTGGTCAGCAGTTGGACCTTGTAGCTCAGTTGGGTAGGGCACCGGGCCACTAATCCGGTGGTCGGTGGTTCGAATCCGGCCGTGGTTCAAACTTTCATTTCTCCTTCAATCATCACCCAGTATAAATCATTCATATTCCCATCATTTTCTATTCACTTGAATCCAATATATTGTAATCATGGTTTTTAGCGCATCCTTTTTCATTCTTCTATCATTAATTCATACTCATTACACTCCATCTTTGTTATTCGCCTTCCACCCTTTTACTAAGAATTCCTGTCACCTTGAGCTCTAATCATACATATGCACCATGGTTACGTCATACTATTATATTTACGTTTATTGATCGATTTTGCAATCTGATTTGTTATGTTACTTATTCCCTATGTTGGTTGATTAGGTCATGGACTATGTTATTCGTCTCTGTTCCCACATATATGCATTGACGTCTAGATGTACAAATGGATTTGATGTTGATTTTACCGTTAAAATGTATCAAATGACACAATTTCCAATTTAGTGCATATGTGTGAGATTTCGATCACACGAAATGAATTCGGTTCATCTCATGTTTGTTGCGTTTACTCTGTAAGCATTTACAACGTGGTTACCATGCTAGAGACTTAGCATTAACGGTGGATTTTTGATTCATATTAAACATTTCGAGGCAGTCGACAGGAAGTTCTGAATTCCATTTTAGTTGATTAGTTAGAGTTACCACACAGCAGAACAATATTATTCACTGGACACAATTTCCCGTCCATAGTGATATCAAGAAAGAGTTTTTGTACCTCGAGGTTGCATATACGCCTTTTTGTTGAGCACCAACAAGCATGAAAAGTAGATCAAGCAAGACTTTCAGCTGATCGCTTTTAACCAACTAACATTCATTACTGATATCATTATAACATTGAAATCCAAGCAGTCTTCGTCCGTATGTGTATAGCTCAGAAGAAGGATTTTGATGGTGTTGCGTTCTCTGAGCTGGATTGTTTGGTCGTGTAGCTTTCATTGTCATTCTAGACAAAGTCATAAGTACAAACTTCAGAAGGAAGTTGGCTATGGAGTTCTCTCCACAAGTGGTTTAGTCGGTCGTCCTTATGACCCTAAGTGTGATTGGTTGTTTCTGCTGAAATATTCTCATTTTCTCCATACCTATTTCCATTGGTTAGCCTGCTGACGTGAACTTTTTTTATATTGGATAGTAGATTAGGTCAATGTCAATGTGTCTTTTGATTGCTGACTGGTCTGACTGCGTCCAAAAATTCTCTGATGTTCTTCGTATTACTTCTTACCAGGATTTTCTCATTTCCCCAGTCAAATTCATGTTTACAGTTGTCCGTATGCACTGATATAAGTGAAGAAGTGTCATCAGACTTCACTGCTGGCTACTAAGCCACTTGCCGAGAAAACCTTGTAGCTCACTTCTTCCTGAAGTTTGATGATGTGTGGAATGAGAATGAAAGCTTCAGGAATAAATCAACCATCCGACTCAGATAACACAAGTGTTATGCAAGTATATAGCTTATTCATTAGTTACCAATGCTGATTTGGAATTCTCAGATAACTTGAATTGTATCTGGGAGTCTCTGTTTTTTCTCCACTTCCTATGCAGCTTGGTTTTAACTTGATACCATTCCTATCGCACATAATTTTCGAGTGCTGTTTTGTTGATAGAGTCGGATTTCAGAATTGGCAGCTGGATGTATCATCAACGTGAAATATCGATATTTTTAGAAACAGCTCGACCCAAAACTATTTTCAAATTCCAGTGTTATCTACTTCGTTACTTGAGTTATGACAACTGGAATAAATAAATAAAATGCTACTCTTGGTGATGAGCTATATCTGTTGTTTGACAGATAATAATTCTACCTGACTGCCCAGACCATGACAGTTGGAGCAGACTTCAAACCTGTGGCTCACGATTACCTCTTGTTCAGTCGATTCTGTTCACTATTCCAATTTAAATTTCCTTGCGTGTTATTTTTCTAGGCTGAACTATTCAATGTTTTCTGTTGATTGAACTATCTGAAATAGTCTTGGTTGATAGATAGTTCTTAATGTTATGGTATAATGGTTGAATTTGTTGTAAAAACTTGTTTCGCAACAGGATTTAAACCAATGGCGTACGGATGCTGATCCGTTGTTCTACTGAGTCGCCTGGTAAAACTCAGTTTCTGAAGTAAGCTGGATACTTAGTTAGCCTCGAGTTCTTGCAGCGTAGTTCGCATAATGCAGAACCAGTAATCCAGAGGCTAAGCCTCCCAGTCTTTGCATGACCTAGGTTTCTACTGTAGTTGTAATCATCACATTCTAATAAACTTATGCGTTTCTTAGATGGATGCTGTAATATTATTTTACATAGCTTCTTAATTACACTTAGTGATGGTTAGCAGTAGAGTCAAGAATACATGTTTAGGGTTCATCAACTGCGTGTACCTGCACTTTAATAGTTTATTATGAATCAGATAAAATGTTTGCATGTATCCTCACTTGTTTATGTATCGTATCTAACTGACGCTATCCACACTGGCTTCACAAATACAAAACACAAATGTATATTCACTTCCTGGATAAATAAGTTTATCTATTTCATCAAAACTCAGTTTGATCCAGAGATCATGTCTACTATTGTTCTGCTATTAGGCACTATCAATCAAAATCGAAGATGCAAGTATAAGGATTTCAACTACGTGCATCAGTAATGTATATTTCTCTCTCAAACAGTGCTGAGCTATTGCTCATTGGTTTAGGGAGATGACTTTCAAGTAGTTAATCACTGATTCGAGCACTGCTCCACCTACTGAGGTCTGGATAGCCAAGTGGTATTATTACCGCTCACACAGCAGGTTTGCCTGATACCCTACTGCACAAATGTCGGCAAAGTATCTGAGTATATTTCGATTCTTTGAATCGGTCATAAAACAATAGTGGAATTATCTATTAAGCACATAGGAAGTATTATTATGATTATTATTAAATTTATCAACTGTACATGAACGAAAGCGGGATGAAAATAAAGGGAAGTAGGAGGGGAAGAGAGAAGAGACTAGCTTATTATCAAAACATGTATAAGATTTACTCAACAAATAAAAAGGTATCAGTTTAGTTAGATGAAGTAATCATGTCCATATTCTACAAAATGTTATCGGGTTAGACAGAGTCCTTAGTGTATATCGTATATCATTACTTGTTACAATAAGTTATGCAGACGAATCAGCTACTGGTCAGCAACTAATGCTGAAGTCTTTACTAGCTGGTGAGTTCTGAACGTTCACGAAGTGTCTGCTTATACAAGTTTTTAGGAATTTCCTCTCGTTTATTCACTGAAAAACTTCTCTTTTGTTGTCCAATTACATAAATTAGCGGTTAAGTGTGAGGGGTTGTATCGATAACCTAAAGTGTGATATACAGGACTGCCGGTCCAAGTAGATTAAGATTTTTGTCAGCTACACTTAATTGCTGCCCTATAATGTTTGAATATTTTTGTATCCTTCTTGCCAATATACAGAATCTTCATGAAGTTCATGAGCAGTATATATTTATTTCACTAACATATATAGATTAAAAATGCAATTTCTAACATATGCTGCTCCGAGTCAGGAGACCTGCAATAATAGGAGTGAAAAAGTGGAATGTGTTAAAATTTTGATCCCAGTGTTCACTTCATGACAATGTATATTCACACGAAGGTAGTTACCAGTGTCGTAAAGTTGAAGCAGCTTTACTTCATTTTTATTATCATATTTGTTAGATGTCATCACTTTAGTATGTATACCTGTGGTGAAACAAATTAGTCTACTTGTAAACATCTACTTGGGCTCATCTACCTCGCTCATTAAAGGACTGTGAACAGTTGAGGGTGAGCTATTCCGCTGACTGATCAGATTTATATTCTGTTTATGTGAAAAGATTTCTCATATTTTAACAATCTTTGTTTTTCTGCTAAACCATGTTGAATTAAGATGAAGTTCGAGGGATATATTGCTTGGGAATGAATGAATACCAAGGTATTTTCTGAAATTTCTGCTTGATTAGCAAACGTGACGCCACTCTATGAAGTCTCTTACTATTGGTCTTAGCCATGTGGGGAGATGTGGACTACCTGGCTAAGGTACCCCCGAGGTGAAAAGAATCAGTGGTTGAGGATTCTTAGTGATCCGGCTGAAAATCGGTCACAGTGGTGCAGATGTATTCACTCCTTGACATCTCAAGCATGAATATTTGCACTAACCTTTGTCTTCAGGTTGTTTATTCTTTCACACAACTTTGTCTACAGTGATACCACTCTTTTTTCTATCCAGCTGTTCTTTGTGTCCTAATGTGAAGTGTAACAACTTTAGCCGATGCACTTGTATGCGAGGTTCTACTTTAATTTTGTCAGTCAGTCACTTTCATTACCAGGCTAGGTGGCATCCTCATGACTAATTCCGCAAAGATGTTTTTTGTTTAGTTCGTTTTAATTTTGATATCCTTTTCTATCCTTTCTTCTCTTTCTTTTTTACTAATTTCCTTTATTTAATAGAAATGGTTTGCCATTCATTTCTGTGACAACTACTAATGCTTTCCCAGATTACACCTTTATTTCTATTGATGCAGTCAACTGGATAATTAAATGGTTCCCTGATATTGGAACAATTGAACAAGCTGTTATTTACCTACAGGTATATGTCCATAGAAATTACTATTATATGATATGCATAGAATAATAATAACAATATTTTATGTATTCATGATATGTAAATAACTTTGTAAGTGTTAGATATTTGTTACAAGCGATGTGATTCATCTGATTTTTAGTAAATAGAGAACCGAATACGATCAGGTTAGTTAAAAGTTTCACTTAATGAAGCTGAAAGCTCTTGCTGATATCATAGCTAGGAAGTAAAATACCACCTATCTGAGAAATATCCTACATCATCGATACGTGATAAACATTTTTCTATCATCTTATTTGTAATATCAATAAGTATACAAATTATTTGAAGTGTAAATATGTAAAATGTGGGTTTCATCATATCCGTCACTTTATATATGATTGGAATGAACAGTTTTGGAGCTGTAGATCTTTTGTTTAGCCACTGAGTTCTTACCAATGGGTCATACTTGCCACGGTGTGGGCAATCCATTATTATGATTAGCTCTCACACAATATATATATTTCACTGTCTACTGTACAAACATGTATGTGGTTACTGAGTAGATTTCGATTTTGACAGTTCTATTCAGAAGAATGTTATGGCTCAATTTTTGTCACAGATCCTGTTGAATAGCTTGTTCCTAAGAATTGTAACAAGTCACGGGGTGTGCGAGGAGTTGACTTGGTAGTTCATTCTTTTCTTCTTGATTAGATGATTGGTTGATGGTTACTGAGAAACTCTAGCAGTAAGTGGAGATGTTGCTCATTGCATTAAGCATTTAACTTCGGATTAATAAGTCTGAGTTTCAAATCTTGATACACCGATTTCGAATTGAACAGTGTAGTAGTATCATATGCACGAGTACAACAAAACGTTATCTTCCTTATATTTCAGGAGTAATAACTTGAGAAAGCCAAGATATTGTTGTTCATTGTTGCCCTTCATGTAAGGAAATACCTCCTAAAACCGCTCACAGTATCTTTTTTGAGAGGAAATGTTATCTCAAGCGAACGGTCTAAATATCCTGTCAAGTGATAAAAACTTAGTTCAACGTATAGCAAAAATGTTTATTATGTAACAAGATAGTATTGAGGAATTGTGGAATAAGCCGAGAAAGAACGTAGGGATGCGGTAAAACGAAATGTATGAATGAATTGTTTTTAGAGATTTCTACTGGCAAACTGTCACACATTAATAAGACGAATTGAAAATATCTCACCTCAGTTGACTTTACTTTTTTCTCCAAATCGATGTGATGTCAAAAAACTGCAGATATCTTTCTCAGTTATGTCAGCACAACTTGTCGCCTTGGTTTGACTACTGAATCTTAGTACAGCGTTTCATCTTTCTCTCTGAAGAAAAACAATCGCTTTTCAGGTGTTGTGGTTATGATAGTTTCCTCTTTTCCACATTCGAAAACTGCGGACACATATGCATATTGATTGTGATTGTAATCCGATGTAATTTTACTTTTAATGATTTCACGTTTCCTATCATAGAAACTGATAGAAACCGGTTGGATATGTCATACATCTGGAAATCGTAAACATGCATTCATCTACGGAACATATTTCTATACACTGCTTATACAGGATTTGAAACAAGCAAACTGTTGTGCACAAGTTGAAACATCCCTTAGTCTATCTGCACCTGACTGTGTTGACTTGAATATTCATTCTGCTCCAGTAACACCGATTCAGTCGAGTGCATCAATCGCAAGTGAGTAAAATGTTTTAAAGAGTATATAAGTTCTTCACTATATATATACTGTGCGACAGTCTACTCAAATCTTATTATTTAACTTCACGAAGTGACTGTACTGATGCTGGAGAGAGATTGAATACCTGATCTTTGTTCATCGAACCGACATCCAATCAACAAAATAGGAGTTATACATCTGCTACGTTTGAGTTATGGAGAATTTCTTTTATCACGGAAAACACTGAATGTGAGTTGATAAAACTACAAAAACTAGATGCATGAAGTTATGCATTAGTAGTATAAGCAATAAGTTGTGCTCGAAATGTCATCCAGTAAATAATACAGTATCACTGTGTGCTATTCCAAGTAGGTGTATGTGATATGGGATCGCAATCTGAAGCTGATCTTTTTAGTCGCTAACTTTTGGTCTCAGTTTCATATGCTTACCGTTTAGGGTCTGTTAAACCATCAGAATTAGTGCTTGAAGACTTCGTTGTACAGAACCGACCAAAGTTATGCTAGTATCTATACAAGTATTTTCCTCATGTCACTGATAGTACCATGAATATTTGCTTCACTTAGGCTGTTTTACATTTTTTTCACAAATCTTGATATTGTCATTTTCATTTGTGTCTCTTCCTGCTAACGTTTGCTTTAGTATTGCTGTTGACAATTTCTCGGCCATGAAGACACCTCAGGTTCTGTGTCGTTTTCATATCTATTCCTTTATTATACCTGATTCTTAGTCAAATATCTGCCCATTAAAGTCGTTAAGAGAGTAGTTGACATTGTGTTTTTTTTCAATATTTTGAGAATTCTGCGTAAATCATTGCCCTGCAGAGCGATAATAAGAAATCCTTTATCCGTGTAATTTAGCTTCTATTCAATCATTTATTTTATATTTTTTGTCATTAAAATATCTCATTTGAAATTCACTAATTCCCTAACTTCTTAATTTTGAATTAGAGAATACTGACTTTATTACTATTTATTGATATACTTGTAATTCTCCGTTGTTTCATTGGATTGAATTGTTTGACCTCCGTTGGCATATGGGCTCCTATACAGATGCCTCGATATCGCCTAAATGTCAATTATAGTAATTAAGTTGGTTGTGGCTAGCCGGATGCACGTTTCATCCTATTTGGGACTCGTTAGCTGGATGTACCTGCACCCCAGTGAGTGATATTATTCCCACTGAGACTCGAACCTGGTACCCATCGCTTCAAACGCCAAGGCGCTATCCGCTATGCCAAGGAGAAATGATGGCCATTTTTTGTACAACGGATAGTAGTTATTACCATTCATTGATATACTTGTAATTCTCTGTCGTCTCATTGGGTTGAATTGTTCGATTTTTAATTGCCATTATGCTGTACGCTGTTTCAAGTAAGTGGCTAGACATCTGTTCACAAGGCAAACTCTAATGAGGATGGCAATGTATTTTGATAGTTAAGCCTTGCTCACTTTCGATTCTACCTTGTAGGGTTGTTTCATCACCTTGATACCAAGAAACATGAATATATGCAGATATCTTATCTTTTTCGCTGTTCATCAAAGAAGAATCATTTCGAGTGCTTGGCTATGAGAAGCGTAGTCATTAGTTCTATTATTATTAGTAGTATTATATTCAGTAATTATTTCAGTCGTTGATTAATTAAGTGCATGGTCTATTTGGCAAACAAGATTCGTGCTCTTACCAATCCACAATGAATAACCTTTCTTGTTTAACCTGATTATTTCTTCTTAGATTACACAATCGGATCTTCAGCCAATACATCACAGTCTATATCGGGTTTGACGTCATCAGTGTTCGTCTCAACAACAACCACAATAACAACAGCATCAATGTGTACAGCGAACAATTGTTTCTCATCCTCTTGTTTCTCTTCTACAGCTAATACAACAACAACTATGACAACAGCAACTATTTCTGCAAATCTGGCGAGTGCTAACACACTTGGTGGTAATGTTAACTTACCAAATACTTTAGGTAATACTAATTCTACTACTCATATTAATAGTAGTGGTAGTAGTATTAGTAATATTGGTGCTTCAGTTACACTAACAGCTTCTAATTATATGAATGCAGCTGCTAGTTCTTCTAGTAGTTGTAGTGTAACAACCACTACAGGCAATTCGACCACTGGAAGCAATAACATTAGCAGTGTTGGTTATGGTAATTTACCTTTGTCAACAACAAAACAAAATGAATTCAATATAAAGTCATCTGATGTTCTATTGAATTACTTCGGAAGCCTACCCAGTATGGATTTAAATTTACAGAATCAACAGCAACAGCTACAACAACCTTTATCGTTTCCTAAAGGTTATATACCGAAACTATTGGATGATACTACTAAATGGACGTGTATTTTTCAAAATGAATGGGCTGAAATTGCAATTGTTTATTATGGTACAGATGAACATCAACGTAGACAACATATTCGTCATGGAAGATGTATGAATCTCAATGATTCATTGAATACTACTACTAATACTGTTAGTAGTAGTGATAATACTCTCACTTCACGCTCTACTGTCACAGTTAATACTACATCAAATGATGCTTTGTCTTCTTCTTCTGATTGTGATTTTAAATCTCAAACACAATCTGGAATTTCTGCAGAGTTAAAAAATTTTAAAAAAGATGGTTTATTGAAACATTCATTAATCTCTGGATTGTTTGGAATACCTGACAAAACTGGATTTCAAGGTAAGTAGAGGGTGTTTCTCTGCATTATTTTCTAAGAACTGTTTTGTATTGATGATAGGGTAAAGCTAACATTTTAGAGTAATCTTGAAGACTGATATTGAGTCAACGAAACAGTGTTATCATTGAGTAGATGATTTCAATTCGGTTAACGAAAATTCTACTACAAACTACTGTATATGTCGTTTATCTACATTTTACGTCGAATGGAATACTTTTTCAAATTGTTTCAAGACTTATCAGCTGTTGTTAAAATATTTATTTCAGATATTTAAAGATTACAGATGATGGATTAGAAACCATATTTCTACTAAAACATTTAATCATCTGAAATCAAAAGTTGTGCTCCACAATATTTAGTCATATTTCCTATTTCAAACCAGGTTCACCGACTTCAGTTAGCAATCGGGCACAGAAATGACACTGGCCACTTTAGTATAACGGATTATGATATCTGATCAGGTTTTATGAAAGGTTTATCGTGACTGAAGAACTGAATGACTTAGTTTCCAATGTTTGGAGAAGTTTTACTTCTTTCATGGTTGTAGATGCATTTTGCCGGCGGTTGGTAACTAACAGGAAACCTGGTTCTCTAGATTTTTGTTGTTTGCTTCCAACAATCTGACGTCATCATACCAACCTACTCATCTTGGCGATGGGATCCCAAACTTGTTGCATCAAGAATTTTGTTTAGCTAAGATAATATTAGTTACTATTCAGTGACTAGGTAATTCTTACATTGCTTCTATTTTGGATATTCAAAACTTCGGGGTCTTTACAATGTAATTTGATTGATGGTAGTGATGTGACCGAGTTGAAGTGACTGACAGAATAATACGGAATACGAGAATGCTACTAACACAGTAAGATACTTCGATTGGATACGAACAACGACTGTTCTCCCTCAGACCTTATGGTTCACGGAGCCACGAAAATCAGAAGACCAAGACCGGCCTGTGACTGTAAGGGAGACAACTTTATTTGACAAAAAACCCATCATTTATATACAGTTTTTCCCCAGCATACAAAGCTACTAGGTCAGAAGTTGGATATTTATTTTCATTGGTCAGATGAAGGACAGTGTTGCTGAATAAGGTTTTACTGCCCACAAAGTAACATGAAACAAGATTGAAATCCGAAACTTTTACCTTAGCGGCTGATGACTTGGAAAGTCGATTTCGATTTAGACCACTTCCTATCATCTCCTCCCGTATGAAGTGTATGACTTCCTTTTTGGATCCACCTAGAAGGGCTTTGGTCTTCTTTTTGGCAAACTGACCTTCTGGCAGGAATGGACTGTCATCGTTCTGCGTCCTGTACTTCTTGTTGTCTGATGACTGTGCTAAAGGTCGCACATAGTTTGCAATCCTGATTCATGTCTCTCCTTTATATAGAACATTTCCTTGACGTCCAATCATTTTCCTTTGTGCCTATGTTGCTGGTGGACAACGAAAACCACATGCATAGACTTGCCAGCTTAATTTGAAGACTCGGCGTCTATCCCCACGATGGTGATTGGACTGATTTTCCATTTTCGAATTCCTCTTCTCCTGTTTTATTTGCTTAGGCAGTTAGCAGGTGAATCCAACAAGTGCGTTTCATCCAACTTCAGTCTCATCAGCTAAGTGTACGTGTGCCAAGTGAATAATGGTGTTCCCACTGAGAATCGAGTCTCTTACTAGCCACTTCCACGCAAATTACATTATAATGAGGTTTTGAGGAGTATGGAGACGTTCAAAAAAGAGCCTATATTTCACCGGACACCAATCAGTCTAATGTAGTAAAAGAACCAACAGGGTATCACAATTGTTAAGAAATGACCGAGATCATTCTGAAACTATTTAGTTGGTATTTGAACTTATTGATTGACAATTTTTCATTTCTACTCATGATCCTTTGGCATAAATTGCGTATAGAGAAGAGAGAAACCTCGATTTACTGTCGATTCTGGAAAAAGGGGAGAAATTAATAATTGTAGGAGAAATTCATATTTTAGAAACGCGTTATCGTTTTTCATGCCATCCTTTTAACACATAATGAGTGTTCTCCTAACTTCTCTGCTTATTCATTTTTCTCTTGTTTCTATGTGTTGTACTAACTAACTGACTGACTCTCTTGGTCTTATCTTCCTATGTCTAGTGAATTTCAGTGAATTTCAACTTTACACACTTCCTCTAACTTATCCACTCATCTATAGATGACCAAGTAGTATCGAGGTACATAGGGCAGGTGCACATGACAGTGTCTTGGTGACTACTAAAATTTACAAATAGGAAGGACTAGACATCATAACTGAGAATGTATTAATCTGTTCAATTGGGGGAATCCAGGTATCTGATTCTTATTGGAAATACTCAGTTGTATTAGCACTCCAGAGCCATGTTTGGTTAGCTCAGTACCTTAAAAAGGAAGAGACCGTTTGTTCAATTGAGTGATTTTTACGTTGTTGCTTGTATCATACCGTTGTTGATTGGGCTGAATCGATCAACCCTTATTGTCACATGGCCTCTTATGCAGATGCCGGGATACTACTTGTAGTTTCGGTTTGGTAGTAATGATGAGTAGTGGCTAGTAGTGGAATCTAGAACCCGCATGGGAAAGAAATCGTTCACTGGGAAGCAGGTAGATCCTACTGACAAGTCTCAAAATAGGAAGAAACTCACGTCCTGAATTAATTTTTTACACCAACCCAGTAGTTGAACTGTAATAATTCTCCCATGTCATATGCATGTCTTTATTTCGGTGCCATATTGTTCGGACTAGATGATATCAATTTCACAATAAAAGCTATCGTCATGAATATAAATATCATTAGCATATTATTTAAAGGTAGGCAAGTATACAGTTAATTGGTTCAATAAATTAGGATTTATTAATAAATCATTTGTCTTTAGAGTGCAAAATACTTTTTTTATTTTTGAATATAAATAATGGTTTTTAAATATCATTTGCTTGTACAATGAAATCCTATTCAAGTTACTTCTTTATACGTATTTCGGTGTTCATGTTGATACGCGAAAAATAATCCTGAACCACAGCCTTACGGGTAGTTGGTGTTACTTAAGAACGAAGAACTACTTTTTTGACTTTTATTTCCACACGGCTGGATATTGGTGTCAGCTGTTTGGAGTCAATAAATGAGAAACTCTCGACCTAGGTTTCATGAATGTTGGCACTTGTCAGGGGACTTTCTTTCGGTCGTTAGGAATCTGGTGTTCCATCGGTGGTGGTTCGAACCCACATCACTCAGTGCTGAAGTCTGAGACTTTACCGATAGACTATTCAGTGAATTGGATATGATCTTAACGGTTTAGTGGTAATGTCTCTAGCTTCAGCAGGAGCTGGTACAGGTTTGAATCGGCAAGGGAACACCGGAATCTTCTTGGATGCAGATACATCTTGCTAATGATTACAAGCAAACGTAAAACGTAGGTGCAGACCCTCCTACTGATTAATTCTTATCATCTCACACTGAAATACACTGCACCACAGTGTCGCACCACTTAGTTTAGTAGTTAGCTTGCAAAATCGGTCGACAGCCTGGTGAACTTCAGCCTGCAGATGAAGATCTCCTTACCTTGCTCAAGCCAATGGTCAGAGACCATATGAACTGATACAACATTTTAGTCTGGCTACATTTAACCTTTTGCAAGCCTGATCTTACTTCAGCTGACACTACGCTTCAACGTAAGCGGCGAATAAGCATTCGTCAGACATGAAGCAGCTCCCTTACTTGGTCAACATTTACAATCTTATCATTCCTTAGTTCACTTATCGATCTGTTTGTTAGAAGCACTGGTAACTACCTCTTAGCAAATACAATAAAATTCAACAGATCGATCACTATGCTCTTTCTGATTCTACACTTTACATAGCTACATGCAAAACAGCAGTATGTTTAGCAACATCAGAATGTGTTCGCGTTACTTTGTAGAATTCATCACCTGGGTTTTACACAAATAATGTTGGGGTGACGCAGTGCACCAGAATTGTTTGCAAACCATATAATTGGTTCTAGAGTAAGTGAGAACTATATTCGTTTGTTTGATTAAATTAGGATATCATTGTTTTTTTTGTCCTCTCGAATTAGTCAGCTTAAACAAAGCACTGTTTGTAAATATAGTCTTTTGCTCTAACTTCACACCTGATACATAACCTAGGCAACTTTGATCTATGCTATTTGTCTTTGTGGACTGAATTCGTTTGAGTACACTATTGCTTACACCAGCGTTACTGTAAAGAAACAGGTGTTTACCGTATCGTAGATATTTCTGAACTACATGATGAAATCTACAGATCAATATCAGTGATTTTTAATTACTTGTGTGGTTTTCTACTTTATTCATCAAACTTGCTCCTGGCTTTTTCAACCCAACTTAATTTATCTAATCAACTGTGTTTGTTGCCTGTATATGAAAGTCAGTGTTTACTGGGATATTTATTTGCAAGTTAAGTGTAACAGTTATATTCGGTGAGAAATTTTTTGTGAATTCTGTTAGCACTATCTTCCTCATCTTCACCCTAAGATATAAATCTTCTCTATTGTCGCAGCATCTTGTTATCATCTCGAGGTATTAATGATCGAAGTTGAAATAACTGCCTATTTGAAAGCTTCACAACAAGAATTACGAAAAAACATCCCAAATAGAAATGTAGCTTTTATTAGCGTACGAGTAATGGATCTTGAATTCCTACTCAGAGGTACCTACTGCAGCCTGGCTAACTCGGTGGTACCATAAGCTTGTATACATCAAGTTTGCTTCATGGCTCCTAGTACATGAATCTGTTCCCTTCTTTCTGCTGATATCTGCCCTAAGTAGTCACAAGTGCGTTCATTTAGTAAGATTTGGATCTTATGTGGTACATACAGAAAGGTTAAGTAATTTCCTCATCTAGTCAGTCTGAAGTAATTGAGAGGGTTTTAACGGGTGTTACAATTATTGACAGTTACATAACTACGTTAGTCTTTCATGGTTTCACTAATATTTGTTAAAATAATAAACACGGATACTAATATGTAGTTTGTTTTGAATATTTATGCAAGCTATGAACAGTGTTTGATAACTTGATTCAGGCTGATTATTAGGTAAGTAAATGTTTAGATAATTAAGATATGGTTTGTTTGAATAAGCAATGGGCAGTAAGTGGTGTCAATAATGTAGCTGGAACTTATAAGTTTACCACTATAATCAATTTTTATTCATTCAGATCCTATGATTGTGGCTTTCTAAGCCTAAGTAGCTGGTACACGATTCGAGATGTTTAGTTTAATATTGAATGCTTTAGCTAATAATTTCACAGTTCCGCTTACAGTAATATTAATTAGAATCCAGTAGAGTGTGCTTGCTGGTAGACTAAAAAACTGCTCGCACTCGGTAGTTGTGTGTTTGGAAAAACATATCCATGTTTACGGATTGACCACCGGGTAACAACGAACATGACTATCAAGTGAAATAGAAATTCGAGTGGCACTCAGAAACCACATGTAATTAATTGCAGTAGGCAATCAACTAGACCTCTTGTTTCATGGCTGCCCAGACCTCGATAGGTGCAGCGGGGTTTGAATCCGTGATCCATCATTTGGGAGTCGAGTGCTTAGACTAATGAACCACAACTCAATACGACTATCAAGTTTTATATTCCCAACATGAATTTACGTCTACCTATCAAGTTTGCAATTTGAACCCTTCGCCAAATGATGCGGCACTGCATTGCATTTCATTTTCGTGTTGGATGTTAAAAGTCAGTTGACTCGTGTGCTACTGTGAATTGTGGCAACTTGAAGTGATGCCCTTTAGTGGGAGGTTCCAGGTTGATTTGCATGTCAGTCTGTCAAATCAGAACGACAAATTTGTTTGTATATGCCTTGCAAACGACTTCCTAAGGAATCATTTTATGAACTGTATAATCTATGATCCTAAATCCAGATTTCTTAGCACTTTGTAAATATGAGTTTCGTACCTGCTCACATTTATCAAAAGTATGCCGCTGATGTTCAAACAGTCGTTTTCCTCAGAGGTATCCACTGTAAATGAAATTTGACTACTAAAAGCTCCCAGTTTTATGATATGATAATTAAACCGTTTAGCTTACAGAAATTCGAATCTGAGTACTTCATATTTCTAAACAGTGATATTGCCATTAAAATATTTCGACCAATTTGTGACATTCGTTTTTATAAGATAATTATCGATCAATACCAGTGTGCAGACCATACTGTAATAGTTTTGTTATCATTTAGTCTCGCATTCTTGTGCCGAATGACACAGTTAATAATTTTAGTGAGAAGATAATTACGCTGTAGTTTTTAGTCACTGAGTGAGCTGAACAAAGCGATTCGGAGACCTATGAAACCTTGACTATCCCTTTTGTATAACCAATACAATGAATGATCAATAGGCGCTTAGATTATTACATTGTGACTACTGAAACTTTGCAAATATGTATAGTTGGTAAGCAAGTTGCTCATCTAATCTAATAGTCCGCCCAGCTTTTATTTTTACACTGGGTAGTGATTGAAGGTGAAGTGAAAATCTAGGTTGTAGCAAGATTTGGACCAGTGACCTCCAGGTTACCAGACTGATGCCTTACCTGCCTCAGCCCAAATTTCCATTTCACCTTTAATCATGACCCAGTATCAATACAAGTCTGTCAAACCACGGGTATCTTAATTAGTCAAACTGATGTCATTTATTATAGCTCTTACTGTTGCCTGTTGAGAGCAATTGATAGATTTAGTTGTTGGAAATCAGCAGTTCTAGCCTTGTTATAAACCGAGTTTTCTTTCAACTTTAGCCAGCTACATTGACACTTCTTATATCTGAGTATTTTTCCACACTGTCGATTGTGATTTGATTAGAAACTATCTGGTCAACATAACGGTTTCTGATACTTGACACAGAGCTTCTGTTCAGATTAGCTATTCGATACCATTTGTCTTGGACAATTCGGTTGCATGAACTGAACTTATCATAAACTCAGACCCAAAGAAGCGGAACGCTTAGTGAAATGCATGAAAAAGCGTTGCATTGATCAATAAAACATTCTAAGAGGACTTTGTATGACTCAAGCCTCAAGCAGATATACTATGGAATCTGTGGTCGCGCAAAACTAATCCCTTTTCTCTTTCCAGTAATTAACAGGAACAGCTCCCACGATGTGAGCATCCAGGATGTACCAACTACGTGCACACTTACAACCGAATTCAATGCCAAACTAACTATAATCTACCCTTATTACCTTTTTTTTCCTGCTCTGCTTTCACTTCGTCACACGGATATTAGGTATTTTACGAAATCTTTATCCTTTCACCTTTTCAGCATTGTTTATGATCCAAGCTAGCTAAACATCATTCTTAGTCCCTTAAAACCACTCTGCAAATTTCAAATTGGAGTTTTCAATGTCCTAACCGTGTGCCAAATCGACCAGTAGACACATCTTACCAAAACCTGGGATCTGGAGTCATGGATGTGTGTTGTGTTTCAGAAACATGCATACAGGACTTGAGTGTGGCTATTCACTTGACATCACCTGGTGAGTGTAGTGATCTTTACAATTCACTCTACTAGAAGCAAAAGACTCAATTAACTTGTTGTTGTAAGTACCACATTAAGCTTTTGAGCAGAACATGCTTTTCTTGACTGGAAACTAACCTATATCTGTCTGTGTCCTCTGTGATTGAATAAATCTGTAAAGATTTGGGGAAAGATCGTGACATTTATCAATACCTACAGTTTCACTGACTGCAGTTCGAACGATAAAAAGGATGTGCCCTATCAAAAGTTATCTGTTCTGCTACATAAAGCAAAACATTCATATACATATTCATAGTAGTAGGCGACATCAACACTCGGTTAGGCTTTCTGATTCAATAAAAATGTAATCTTGGAAACATCTACGGTATACTATGCCAGCGGACTGACAGTGATGATTATGTTTTGGATTTTTGTTTTAGAAATCTCTTGTTTCTGGCCAGCATTAAGATCGAAATCCTTTCAAAATATCATTTGAGGTAGTCTTAGATATGTTGTTGATTTCCATAGCATAACGACTCTACTCCCATTGACAAAATCATAATCGAATATTAGACAGGTGCAGGTAATCGTTAATGTGTTCTTTAGTGGTGCTTAGTGCATCGTGACACTCATCAATGAAATGTATCTCTAGACTTAAGTATACTTGTATTTCTTCGGAGACACAAATCAGCCTCAACGTTCCTACCAATGGTATTCTAGAGCTGGTCATACGATGATTGCATCATATTAGTTGCTTTTTCTGTTTGACTAAAACGATTCAATATCAAAGAAATATGTCTATTTACCTTTACAACCTAACCATGTTTTTGCAGTAAGAAAATTAAAGTACCAATCATGGTGGAGCATGGCTTTTGTCTCTATGACTAGTATTCATATAGTTTTCATTAAGTGTAACTGTATAAAATTTGTCTGTATATAAGTGGCAAATGAACTGCCAATTTTCAGATTATAGATTTGAAGTTTACTCAAATTGGAGACATTATTTTATTAACTTACTCTGGGTGATTTGTAGGACTTTTAGCTTTCTATTTATTCTTTGATAAATGTTTAGATTCAATGATAAGAAAAGTTGATTAATTTGGATTTAGATCGTCAGAATAAATACATCTACTTCCTACCTTCCTCTAAGTATATAAGTCTTGATTTCCCTCTTCTTCCGATGTCATTCTTTCAGCGCATTCTACTTCTAAGATAAATGGAAGATATGGTAGCTTAAGCTGATATACTGCTATTCATAAGCTCTAATTTGTGCATGTGTGCTATTTATGTATTTTCAGTAGATAACTGGTAAGTTATAACTGATATGGCTATGTGACAAATTTTAGATACAGCCCCAATTGAGGAATAATTTTTATTGACCTTATCATGTTATTTTCTCATTGAAATTCATCTTCATTTTACTTCTATACATTTTTGAACTTTTGTTCACATTAGTACAGTATGCTTTAACATAAATACATGCAGATTGATATTCATAACTTCTGTATTTCTAAGCTACTTGATATATTAACCATAATATGCTTATTAGTAGTCTATGTTTGATAGATGGCAAATTAGGATGATGATATACACTGAATTCTAAGTTGGATTATTATTTATCTGCTTCTTATATTACTGATTTTTATTTGTTACAGCTTCAATCAAATTTTATAGAGTATTACGTTATTGTAACTTGTTATAACTAGAATCAACTTATCAAGTTACCATTTGATATGAATTCGGTACGCGTCTCAATTGCAAATATTTCCTTTACTTAATACTAAATCACCACAGCAATCAGTCACTAATTAAATCAGTCATAAAAAATGTTTTTCGGTGCTTATCTGTGGCGTTAGATGCTAGACGTCAATCGACAAGAAGCCAAGAATCTAGGTTTTATGCTCATTGGCGTATATCAGCAAGTCATATCTGCAAAAAATGAAGATTATTGTATTCCTTCTATGGAATAAACTTTCATCAGTCAGTGGTGAGATCACAGACTTTACCACTATACTATTCAGGTCCCATGACTGGACTATGTACTTTAAATAAACTACTAATAGGTAAATGAAGCTTAATGATGACCACACTGCAGACTTGATCTATAGACTTCAATCGAAGCCGAGAGCTAAGGACTTTAAAATTAAATTGTTTATCCTATAGCAATCTGTTCATTTCTTTATGAGTTCAAGTAATATTCTAAATTCACTTCAACTTTATTCTATATCCTTTTTCTATCTATATTCATTCATTTTCAGAAATTGATCAAATTCTGCGTAAAAGTTGTCTCTGTGATATGGATGAACCAGATATTGATGGTCGAGTTGAATGGGCTCATTGTGTGTATGATGCAAACTATCATCCAACTTGTGCTTTTTCAATAGAACTTCAATGGCTTGTAGTTACAGGTGGACGAATGGCTGAACTGGTAAGATGTTTATTCTGTATGGAAATTGTGTTTCTGTTTGATTTGTTTACTGAAGAAAAGTCAGCATCTGGTTTACATTTACAATGTCCAAAAGTATGTATTAAAGAATAATTCTCATACCTAGACCAGTCTTGTACACTGTTATTTAGGGGTTGAAGAATCTAAGGTGGCGATTGACTCAGGTTTCGATTTTCTAAAGAACATGTGTTTCATGAATGTAAGTGTAAAACTTGAGCATTGAGATAAGATGTAACTCCCCATTAGATTTCTTTATTTGATTTATAACACATAGTGATACAGTATTATTTACTTCATGACGTTTCGAGCATGAATTATTACTGTTCATAATCACATCAGTGTCGTCACATAGCTGTCAATATATTTGATTTTTGTAGTCCTGTCACTGCATATTATTTGTCGGCTTAAGGATCCGATAGAACCAATTGGGCAAAATAATCTAATCTATCAAATTGTATGTACTAGCTGTGAGGTCAAGTACATAGGTTGAAATAACCGATCCGGTGTCAGTTAGATAAGTGGAATATAAAGATTTGGCTAAATATAGAATGGCAGACCCGAATAAGATTAATAATCTAGAAAAGAACTCGGCTATTGTATTGCATGCATTGACACAACCACACACACAACAAGATGAGATAAAACCACTGCACATAAGTCCAATTTAATTAGGTAGAATTTAAGAGAGATTGATTACTGAATCTTTGTTCATCGAATCAACACCACGCAACACATGTAATAGAAATGACGCAACACCTATACAAGAGATATGGAAAACTTTATTATCGGTAAAAACAAAGAATATGAGATATCGGGACTATAAAAATCTACTGTCCAAAGTCATGCGATTACACTGATATGGTTATCAGTAATAATTTATGCTCGAAACGTCATGAAGTTAATAATACTATATCACTGTTATAAATCAAATAAACAAATCTATTATGGAACATGTACTTTTCATGAAGTCGTATGTACAGGTGATTGATGATAGATTCCTGTGAATACCCGCAGTAGAACTGATCAGCATCATAGAACAATATATCACGTATCATAGATAATTGAGTATATATGCTCTTCTAAATAGCATGTGCATATATTGGTGCGTAATTGTCACGAAGTGATATTTGAGTATGCTAACTTCTAACTCTTTTCAAGTGGTTAGTATGATTGATACGAAAGCAAATACCTTATTTTGGCCACAGTAACTTAACTATTGTGTGGATTTGTTGAAAGTGTGTGATGTTACTGAAACTCTTGTCAATTCATAAAGACTGCACTATTCCCTGTGCATTATCAACATTTTCTCAATAGAGTACACTCTTAAGGATCACTGAAGAATTTCGCTGTTAGGTGTCCTGTGATAAACTTGAGTAGCTGACCGTTAGGCAGTAGCGAGTCGTCGATAATCTTTGGAGAATATAGATTAAAGTTTATTTTGAGCATTTCTTCCAGTCAAACTTACTATTTACGAATTGACATCCACTTCACATTTCTGTAAACCGTTTTTAGTTAAATAATTCCATCTTTTGTCCAGAGAACTTTATTTATTTATTATGATTTGACTATCCAAGATAGCCGTAGTTTAGCAAACTAGTATTTGTCATCATCATCATTATCAACATAGGACCAGGCATTACTGCGTAACGGTCCGAGTTGCCACACCTCATATCAGCACATCAAGTAAAAAGGTAGTGAGGTGAAGGATGAAGATAAGTGAATGCAGTCAAAAGAAATATAAAGTACGAGAAGAAAGGAAAGAGGAGTGACAAAATAGTGAGATTCGGTATAGCGTTGTTAAGATGAGGATAATGTGTGTATACATCTGCGCCACTGACTTCGGTTCTGAGCCATATCACCTAGGGTCTCCAACCACTGGTTCCTCTTGTCCCGTGGACCCCAACCACCTAGTCTGCATCGTCCTACATGGCTTAAACCAACAGTCAGAGACTTCATACATTGGTGCCATGTTTTAGTCTGGCCACCTCGGGCCTTTTTCCAGCCTGAACCCACCTCAGCCAACATTGTGTGACGAGGCAATCGGTGACTAGGCATACGTAGTACGTGTCCCAACCATCTCAGTCGATGAAGGTTCACAACCTCGTCGACTGACTTACCTCTTCTCCCTAAAACTCTACACCTAACTTCTGCATTACTCACATGGTGACACCACGGAATACGTCCTATACTACGAAGGCAACGGTGGTCAAATACCTGTAACCTTCTCATGTCTTCCACTTTCAATGGCCATGTTTCACAGCCATACAGTAGAACAGAGCGGACTGCTGTGCAGTACACGCGACCCTTAATAGACAAACGAATATCACGGCGGCGCCATAGGTGGCGCAAATTGGCAAAAGCCAATCGAGCCTTTTGTATCCGTGCAGAAATCTCATCGGCAACTAACCCACCGGGTTGATCCTACTTCCCAGGTAAGTGAAGTGGTCAACACACTCAACCACTTCACTCTCTATTGTTAACCGCGGTACCGCTGAAGACCAGTCCTGGAGCAAAAATTTGCATTTGGGTGGTGAAAATCGCATCCCAAACATTCTCAAATTCCCACTCAAAGTGTTCAGAAGACTCTGCATCTTGTCAGCGTCTTCACCTAACAGGACTATGTCATCTGCATATTCTAGATCTAAGGAAAATTCACCTGTGATCCGGTCAACGTCTTTGTAATTAGGTGACGAGAGGGAAACCTCCATAAGAATATCTATGATAAAATTAAATAAGAATGGGGATAGTGGGCATCCTTGACGGACACCACTTGATGAGTATAGCTCCCTGGACAACTCACCATAGGCTCTAACATGCCCACAAGTGTTCGAGTAGAGAGCTTTCAATAAGGTGATGTACTTACTAGGCACGCCTTTCAGTGACAGACACTGCCATAAGACTTCTCGATCAACGGAGTCAAATGCCGCCTTCAGGTCGAGAAATACAGCTATTGTCGGGCGTCTGTAAGCATGCCTATGTTCCAGGACCTGGCGCAGTGTGAATATTTGGTCGATACATCCACGGCCAGGTCTAAAGCCTGCCTGGTTTTCTCGGGCTTGCTGTTCCCGAGCTCCACTCAGGCGTCGGAGAATTATAGAACTTAGGATCTTAGACACTATGTTTGTCAGGCTGATTCCTCTGTGGTTATCACAAGAGGACTTCTCGCCTTTCTTGAAGACTGGGATGATGAGTGACTTAGACCAGTCGGAGGGGATCGTATTTGATTCCCATATACTGGCTAACACTTCCGTTAGCCTGACTAAGAGAACTCTACCACCATTCTTGTATACCTCAGCAGGTAGTCCGTCTGGTCCTGCTGCCCTTCCCCGTTTCAGGCTACCTACCGCTTTCTCAACTTCTTCTAGTGTTGGGGGACCTGTCTCTATGTCCCATTCAGGGTCCGACTGGATAGCGGGCAGCGCAATGGTGGCTGGAGGCCAGTTAAACTGTTCCTCAAAGTGTTCTGCCCATCGTCCCAGTCGCCTTCCCTGCGAGTGAATCGCCGATCCGTCCTTCTCCGCTATAACCTCACTAACTGTTGTTGACCATTTCCCCCCAGTCTCCTTAATAAGTCTAAATAACTGTCTACTGTTACCGATCGCCGCTGCCTTTTCCATCTCTTTAGCCTTTGCTGCCCACCACTGTTCACGATCGTTGCGCAGACTTTTCGTCAGTTTATTTTTAAGTTGCGCTCGCTCTTCATTGTACTCAGAGCCTGCAGGGATGCATTCACGTGCATCCATTAGTTTGGAAGAAGCTGCTGATATCCACTGGCTCTTTTTAGCCATTATCTTGGAGTCGGCTACAGTCTCCAGTGCTGCTTTTACAGTAGACTGAAGATGGCACCAAGCTTCTTCTGGATGAGTGACAGTCTTTTGTTCCGATAACTGCCTAGCCAACTTCTCACTGAACACGGCTTTGGTGTTTTCGTTGTCCAGCAGAACTCGTAGTGGTTTTGTTGCCAAATTTTTTCTACGTCCATTGAGACGCAGGCATATACGTGCTCGGACCAACGCATGATCGCTGTCCAAACACGTACTCCAGAAGGAGCGGCAGTCTTCCACCGATCCTCTCCAGCGATGACTAATAGCAATGTGGTCTATCTGTGTCCATCGCTGAGTCGAGCTCGGTGGACGCCAGGTCAGACAGTGCCTTTCTTTATGTCTGAAATTTGTGCTGGCTAAAAATAGGCGGTTATCTGAGCATAGTTGTAATAGGCGATCACCGTTATCTGTACGTTCAGCTGGGATTCCGAAAGTGCCACCTAAGTGCCTTTCTGCCTCACTCAGTCTACCCACCTGTGCGTTGAGGTCACCTGCAACAACCACTACGTCCGAACGTTTGGCTTTCGAGAGGAGGTTAGACAGTTTATGGTAGAACTCGTCCTTCACTTCATCCGAACTACAGTCAGTGGGTGCGTAAGCAGAGATTACAAAGAGACAACGGCGAGTCTCACTATTCCTTTTAGTTCTCACTGTGCCGTTCAGCCTCATAGCGCAGAGGCGACTATCAACTGGGATCCAGTCTAGTAGTGAGTTTTCTGCCCTGGTGCTTAATGCTATACCTACACCTGCAAGACCACGAGAGCTAGCTATCGAATCTCCAGAAACTCGAAGGGTGAATTTTGCAGATTCACCAGATTGGTCAGGAGAGGTCAGGTGAATAACCACACTTGGGTCCTGTATGCGTGTCTCACAAACACAGCACACATCCATGCCCGAGTTGCTAGAGTCTTTGCCAACGAAGCCTGTTGGCCAATTTGACGGAGGGTGCGGACATTGAAGGCTCCAATATGTAATTTGGAGCGTGGTTTAAGGAGACCAGGGACGCTGTTCTGTGGACTCAGATCGTTGTCGAAGGCTGCAGAGGTAGGAGAAATTGAAGATGATGCAGCATCATTAATTAAGAGACGTGAAGGAAGATTAGAAGGTAATGATGGAGGAGGAGGATAGCAGTCAGAAGAAACTTGGGTGCTGACAGAG